GATGCTTATGGCCTGGTTTTGTCCAGTATTTTTTAGACTATCAAAGCTGCATTGGCTGTGCTCTGCCACTGAGACCTCCCCCACTATACACCCACCTTTTTTTGTTGTTGTTGTTAATCCTCACTCGAAGATACTTTTCCATTGATTTTAGAGAAAGTGGAAGGGAGGAGGAGAGACAGAGAGAAACATCGATGTGAGAGAGACACATCGATTGGCTGCCTCCCACACCGTGCCACCACTAGGGCCAGGGATTGAGCCTGCAACCAAGGTACGCGCCCTTGACTGGAACCAAACCCAGAACCCTTCAGTCTGTGGGCCGACGCTCTAGCCACTGAGCCAAACCAGCCAGGGCCACATCCACCTTTATTTACAGATAGTTACTCTGCTTTGAGAAAGAGAGTCTTAATCCATGCTGAAGCTGTGCTATGGCCTTGAAACAAGTAGTTAAACCTTCCCTGTTTGATGTGTTACTTAGAGGAATAGATTTTTCAAAGATATACAGTGTTCCTCCAGAATAGAAGAAAAGAGAACAGGATCAATCCTCAGATATTTACTGCTGGAGGCCTTGTAGGGAATGGGGAGTTGTTTGTTGACACAATTTTGGTAGTCTAGATCTGGAATCAGCAAACTATAGATCGAAGACCAAATCTGACCTGCCACCTGCTATTGCCTATTATTTTCTACTTAAGAGCTAAGAAGTGTTTTTACATTAAATATTTTGAAAAAAATATTTTGGGATGTGTGTAAATTATATGAAATTCAAATTTTAGGGCCTATAAATAAATTTTTGTTGGAATGCAGCCACATTTACTCATTTAGATGTTGTCTGTGGCTGCTTTCATACTACAATAGCAAGGTTGAGTACTTGGAACAGAGATCCAATGGCCAGAAAAACCTAACAGAAAAGTTTGCTGACTTAGATCCACACTTTCAGCAATTTTGATAAAAAACATAAAGTTTAATTAATTTGGCATGATGACTTAAAAAAAAGCAGCATGGCTCTACCTGATTGATTGACAAATGAACTGTGGGTAGCTGGGTGCCATTAGTGTAGACCCCCAGGTAAGACTTTAGGGATAGACTGCTGTGGGCTGGCTATTTGTCTCTTTTGCAAAATGGAAATGATATAATTGGTCTGTTAATGTACTTGATTCTTTGTTGACTAAAATATCTGAGGAGTTATGACAAAAGGAAGTTAGGGAAGAATGAGACAATTGTGGAATCATTTGCTGTAAGTTCAAATATAGACTTTTAACTTTTGCCCGTTATGTGTTTTTAATGTAACTTTGGGTGTTTGAGATTTGTAATTTGACTGTTGATATGGTATATTGTTGGTATATATTGTGTAGTTGTTATGGTGTATTTATTGGAATGTGTTAGACTACAGATGTAAGATGTAGAAGGAGATCTCGTTAAAATCCAAGCCTTAGATATTTTTTCTATTCTAATGCTTTGTATTTGATGTATAACCCAGGAGGTATCCAGTTGAATCTATAAGTATGGTTCTTCTAGGGCCGTGGTCGGCAAACTGCGGCTCGCGAGCC